AGGCAAGGCTAGGATGGCCCCGGGCGCGCGCCGCTGAAGGGAGAGGGCCGGAGCCGCGCGGAGTCGCGCGCGCCAGGCCACGCTCGCCGATGTCCCGCCCCGCCCCAACGGGAAGGGGGTCCTTGGCGCGGCGTCCGTCCCCAGTGGGAAAGACAGACCAGTGGCGACCTCTACGTGGGTTCCTCTAACGTGGTAGGGGCGCGGGGAGAGTGGTTGTGGCCCTTTCAGTTAGCGAGCTGCGGGTAGCGGCGGGTTATTTAGTATCAAGCGCGCATTTGGTAGTCGCCTCCGCTGGGTAGCTTGGGAGGATTCGAACTGGCGCGAGGTGAGTACCTGCCTGACCTTGTCGCGTCGCGCCACCTCGCTGGGGCCTGAAGGTATTTCCAGGATGTCCCTGCGCGGGGGCCTGGAACCTGGTTTGGTCTTGCAAGCCCGCTTGGGACTCTTACCACCTTAAACGGCCTAATAAATACCCTGCCCAGGAGAACGTGTACTTATGATGGCGCAGCGCTTTAAGGCCCCGTAAACCAAAAAAAACCCGAACCCGTTGCCGTCGAGTCGATTCCGACTCCTTAAAATGGGAGTGCTATAGCCGGAGACCACCCTGGTAGTTGGGAGAAGTTACTAGGGACGGTGTCAGATCTTAATCCTTACGGGAGCAGAGTCTCGTTCCTCTAGCACTGAAGTTGACCAGCTACGGCCCTCGAGCTAGCAATGGTTTTTACATTTTTCAATGTTTGAAAAGAAATAAAAAAAAGAATATTTTGTGACACGTGAAAGTTACATGAAATTCAGATTCCTGTCTCCCTAAAGTTTTATTGGAACACAGCCACACTCCTTTGCTTATTTATCTTTTTGTGGCTGTCCTCTGCGTTATTAAGGCAGCATTGAGTGGCTGCTCTCAAAGCTGAAAACATTTACTATCTGGAGCTTTGCAGAAAAAGTTCGCAGAGCCCTGACCTAGCAGATTGAATCGCCAATGGAAGAAGGTCTAGATCGTATAAGGAAGGCAGTTTGCGTATTTCCGAAGTAGAACAGTCAGATATTATAAGCCAATTGTATATTAGGGGAAAGAAAAATTGAAAATAACTGTTTACATCAGAACCTTCATAAAGGGAAGCTCCAACATTTCTAGTAATAAATAAATAAATAAATAAAACCAACCCCACTGCCGTCCAGTGGATTCAGACTCATAATGACCCTATAAGACAGAGTAGAACGGCTCCCATAGGGTTTTCAAGGCTGTAAGTCTTTACTAAAGCAGACTGCCACATCTTTCTCCCCAGAACCTTGGTACCTTTCAGTTAGCACCCTAGAGCTTTGATCACTGCGCCACCAGGCCTTCTCCACATTTCTGGTAGTGGCTGGCAAAAGATACAGTGATTTCATGTTTACCAAAAGGAGGCAAAGTTTAAAGAAAAGTAGGAAAACACTGCCCTGTCTCATGAAAGAAGATAATCAGAATATCTGTTTGTCTTAGTTATCTAGTGCTGTTTTAACAGAAATACCACAAGTGGATGGCTTTAACAAAGAGAAATTTATTCTCTCACAGTCTAGGAGGCTGGAAGTCCAAATTCAGGGTGCCAGCTCCAGGGGAAGGCTTTCTCTCTGTCAACTCTGAGGCAAGGTCCTTTTCATCAGTCTTCGCCTGGTCTAAGAGCTGCTCAGGTGCAGGGGCCCAGGGTCCAAAGGACATGCTCCCCTCCTGGTTCTTCATTCTTGGTAGTATGAGGTCCCCGTCTTCTCTGCTAGATTCTCAAGAGATTGACTCAAGATACAACCTAATCTTGTAGATTGAGTCTTACCTCATTAACATAACTGCCTCTAATCCTGCCTCATTAACATCATAGAGGTAGGATTTGCAACACACGGGGAAGATCACCTCAGATGACAAAATGGTGGACAGTCACACAATACTGGGAATGATGGCCTAGCCAAGTTGACACACATGTTTAGGGGACACAATTTAATCCATAACACTCTTGAATAAAATAAATGTGTAAAGAGTTCTGAAAACATTTCACTTTTTTTTTTTAAATATCAAGACAACTGTTTCCAGGCATTTGAAAATTACAACATCTTGTCCCCACATCATCTTTTATCCTTCAAACCATTTGTATTAGGGAGTTTCTGTCATCTTTGCAGTTTTCTGATACTGGACATGCCAGTCTGACCATTCTGTAATTTAGAATCCAAAATGTACCATGTTATTAGTGAAATGTATTAAACATAATAAATCCCCTTTATGAAAAAGTGGCAGTGGTTCAGTGGTAAAATTCTTGCCTTCCATGCAGGAGACCCAGGTTGGATTCCTGGCCAGTGCTCCTCACGCGCAGCCACCACTCATCTGTCAGTGGGGACTTGTGCGTTGCTGTGATGCTGAACCGGACTCAGTGTAGCTTCCAGACTAAGATGGACTAGGGAGAAAGGCTTGGCATTCTGCTTCTGAAAATTCAGTGAAAACCCTGTGGATCACAATGGTCCAATTTGCAGCTAAACATGGGCACTGTGAAGGACTGGGCAACATTTCTTTCCGTTGTGCGTGGGGTGATCGTGAGTTGGGGGCACGCTTGATGGTGGCTTATAATTATGAAAAATGGACTCAATCGCACATTTGACTTAGGATTAAAAAAAAGTATAAAAAAATTATTCGTTTTGAGTTTGGTTTTAACTACTGTATGCGAATGTTCTGTTGAGGAGAGCTTTGCACATATTGGAAGAATAAACTGCAGAAATATTTTGCAAAATTGAAGTTGGCACATATTCCTAGTGATAGCCTATGCTGTATTGATGAGGCTGGAAAATTCAGATACTTTTCTCCCTGAGGATATCAAATGATTTACAGTTTGTAGTTGATCAAGCTTGATAAGAAGCTTGATATCAAGTTGATAAAATAGGTATCTGCTACTGCTTACATTTGGGGCCTGGCAACTCTTTTTTTCTTTTAACAGCTTCTACATGTATCATTTAGTGACATTGATTGCATTCTTGAAGTTGTGCAGCCATTGTCACCCTCCTTTTCTGACTTGTACCTCCCCAGTTAACATAAATTCACTGCTCCCTAAGCTTCCTATCTAAACTTTAAGGTTGCTGTTGTCAATTTGATCCCATATAGATAGTTCTTAAAAGAGCATAATGTTCAAGGCAGACATTTTTTACTACTTGAGGTAAACTATTGTTTGGTTTTAAGAAGACTTCAGGGGATATTTTTGTTTTAAGGTTTGAAGATTATCTCAGGGCAGTAGTTTCAGGGGTTTATCTAATCTTCATGGCTCCAGGAAATCTGGAGTCCATGTAAATTTGAAATTCTATTCTGCATTAACCCCCTTTTGACCAGCATTCTGCTGTAGAATCTTTCATCAAAATGTTCAGTAATGGTAGCCAGGCACCATCCATTTCCTCTGGTATCATGGCAAAGGAGGCAGTTGTTCTTGGAGGCAGTTAGCCACACATTCCATATCCTCCTATTCTTAACTCTCCTTTTTCCTCTGTTGCTCCAGGCGAATAGAGACCAATTGTGCTTTGGATAGCTCCTTGCAAGCTTTTAAGACCCCAGGCACTACGCAGTGAAGTAGGAGGTAGAACAGAAGTGCTAAACATGTTATTAGGTCAGTTAACTGGAGTGTCCCATGAAACCATGACCCTAAACCTCCAAACCAAGGAACCAAATTCTATGAGGTGTTTGGTTGTACATAAGCTGCCTAACAGCTATTCTTTTTTTCTTTTGGAGGGACGGTGGGGCAGTAGGGCGGTGCGGTTGTTGTAAATATCTGTCACACAATTCTTGCTGATTCAACTTTTTGCAGGTTGTCTTAGTCATCTCGTGCTGCTGTAAGATAAATACCACAAGTCGATGGCTTTAACAAAGACAAATTTGTTCTCTCACAGTCTAGTAGGCCAGGAGTCCGAATTCAGGGTGCCAGCTCCAGGGGAAGGCTTTCTCTCTCTGTTGGCTCTGGAGGAAGGTCCTTGTCATCAATCTTCCCTTGGTCTAGGAGTTTCTCCACGCAGGAAGCCCAGGTGCAAAAGATGCACTCTGATCCTGATCCTGACACTGCATTGTTGGTGGTATGAGGTCCCCAAGTCTCTCTGCTAATTTTTCTCTTTTATATCTCAAAAGAGATTGACTTAAGACACAACCTAATCTTGTAGATTGAGTCCTGCCTCATTAACATAACTGCCTCAGATCCTGACTCATTAACATCATAGAGGTGGGATTTATAACACATAGGAAAATCACATCAGATGACAAAATGGTGGACAATCAGAATGTTGGGAATCATGGCCTAGCCAAGTTGACACACATTTGGGGGGACACAATTCGATCCATAACACAGGTGTACAATTTTTTGACAGGAATTACAATAATCAGCTGTGCAACCCTACCCTTAATCAGTGCAGTATTTCCATCACTGTTAACCCCTCCCTTTCCCCCTTCCTCCCACTCCTGGTAACCACTAATAAACTCTGGTCTCCATACTTCTGCATTTTCATGTCTTCTTATATTATGAGGTCATATGATATTTGTCCTTCTGTGACTGATTTATTTCACTCAGCATAATGTCTTCCAGCTCCATCCATATTGTTGTGTATCAAGACTTCATTTCTCCTACTGGCTGAGTAGTAGTCCATTGTATGTATATACCACATTTTGTTTATCCATACTGGGCATTCAGGTTGTTTCTACCTTTTGGCTATTGTGAATAGTACTGCAATGAACATTGGTGTATACAAGTATCTGTTTGAGTCTCTGCTTTCAAGTCTTTTGGGCATATACCTAGGAGTGGAATTGTTGGGTCATATGGTAGTGCTGTTTTCAGTTTGTTGAGGAACTGCCACACTTTTCCACAATGGCTGTACCATTTTGCATTCCTACCAGCAATGGGTAAGGGTTCCATTTTCCCCACATCCTTGCCAACATTTTTTATTTTCTTTTTTTTTTTTTTAATCTTAGCCAACCTAGTGGGAGTGAAATGGTATGTCATTATGGTTTCGATTTGCATCTCTCTGATGGCTAATGATGCTGAGCATCTTTTCATGTGTTTGTTGGCCATTGAGATGTCCTTTGGTGAAATGCCTATTCAGGTCCTTTGTCCATTTTATGATTGGATTATTTGTCTTTCTGGTGTTAAGCTGTCAAAGTTTTATATATATTTAAAGATATTCTCCCAGTCAGTAGCTTGTCTTTTCAC